CGATGGATGCAATCGAACGCTGCGGCAATGTCAACAAAACAGATAGCAGTTGGTTAATGGTCCGCACCCGTTGATTGCATGCCTGGACAGCCATCACGAACCCTATCACCACCCGAAACGATATGCTACTTTACAGGTTGTTGTGTATCATTTAACCACGTGAGTAAAAAAGAATTACTGACTATGGACGATATAAATGTTAACGCAGCTGGGCCACGCTACATATTGGTTCATATATTTTGAGAATTGAGGCACATATAATTTAGCCGGGTTGGATACGTTCGGCTTCTCCCGAACCCCTTGAATAGAACAGAAAATGGGGAGCAATTTCTTGCCCAACAATTTCCAAGAATAAATGGGAGTTGAGAAATGTTTGTGCTGCAAAATAATCTCTATATGGAAGGCATAGAATCACTTGTCTTAACGTGAAAGTAACGCTAAATTCCACGACGAAAGCTTCAGATTTGGCTGCAGTTGGAGGCCCAGAGGATAGCTTCCGGTAGAGGCTAATGGAAAGCAGAGCAACTTAGAAAAATTTAGAGGCACCATTTTGCGCTGTCAGCCAGAGTCAAAAATGACTGGTCACGTCGTGCAATCCTTTCTCACTATTTGTTATAATTATAACGATGGCAAGCTTAATCGTAAACCTAACGTATTTGCCAAGATTAAGGTTTGGGCCAGGGTCACCCCAATTCATAAAATAATCCTATTATCTAAACCAAAACTGATCTCAAATTATCTCTCGAGGGTTTAGTTAAGCTCAAACTAAGGCATAACCGTAACAGAGAATGGTTATTGAAATCAAATGAGCAGATGCGTGTATTGTTAAACGAAGAACTTACATTTTCGACTGTCAAAATCCCTCCTAGTCGTAAACGCACAGTGGAATTTCGTTTAAAATAGGATGAGATTTGCATACTCCTGTAAAAACAGTACGGCTAACACTACACCAGCACAACAGTTTCTTTTTCGGGCGAACTATTCCAAATTTGGCGTCTAAGAACCCTGTACTTCCCATCGTGCTTCGATTGCAGATG